TTGGCTATGGTATCGTCACAAAGCCTTACGCTTCTCAGTATCGATGTTAACAGGCACTGCAGAGCCATTCTTAAAAAAAGTAAATTACCGTAACGTTTCTGTGAGCAGGAGCTGATGTTCTGAACAGGAGCTGCTGCCTGCATTCTGCTGGCTGTACTCACAGTGGCAGTACCTGAATAGTTTTAGACATATCCCAAAAGAATTTCTTCAGTCACTGTGTAGTCATCAAGCTCTGCAACAGCCTTGTTTGCACCGCATGTCCTGTAGTAGTAGTGTAAGAGAGTACTTGTTTCAAATTGACTTAATTCTGTGCAATACAGTAATTTTAAATTACTCAAAATAATTCAGAATTACTTTGTCAAGATAATACGACAAGGCTGCGAGCTTCATCGCATTGGGAGGCATCACTTCTGGGCATCACGGTGCGAAGGGCATCAGCAGTGCTTCCTTTGACTTGGATGTCACCTGGTCCCATTTGTGCTGTCCTGTACAGAAAAGGTTTTGGACCAGCTCACCCTCTGTTTTGCACAGCGTAGAATGGGGTTGTGCTCCCGTCGTTCGCGGTTCTCCAGGTGGCAGAAGACAGGCCTGTTGGTGAAAACTGGGGTTTTTCTAAACATTTTTCTAGAGCAGAGCTGTTACTGAACTGTGGTGAAAGCTTTACTTTCATTCTGCTCGTCATTCATATTTTTATATTAATAACTATTATGTATGTGCTTTTGTGGGCTGTTTTTAACTACAAGCTATCACGATGGGGGCAAGCATAGTTTTTACAGAATTAACCCTTTTTTGACAGGTCTAACAAAGCATTGGCCGAGTCTCTGGATAAAGCAAACGACCCCCTGGATCCAATTGTAAACAAGCTGCTGCGATCTATGGCCACGCACGCCATGTCCAACGCCCTGTACTTCTCAACCGGCTCTTGTCCCGAGGAGGAGTTTCATCATTACGGTATCCTGGCACTTGAGGTTTTGTGCTGTTCCTGTTTCTGAGCTGCTGGGCAGGAGGCAGTCGATTGCTTTGGTCGTGTAACACCGCTGCCTTTTTCATCTGCAGGGCTCGCCTTGGAGAAGTACACTCACTTCACGTCTCCCATCCGAAGATACGCCGATATTGTTGTCCACAGACTCCTGATGGCAGCGACTCGGAACGAAGCTGAAGGTGCTGTTGAGGATCCTGTATTCAGTAATAAGGACCTTCAGGAATTGTGCAGACACATCAATAACAGAAATCGGGTGAGATGGTCGTTGTGTGTTCTCCAGCTGCGTGCACGCTGCCCTGCAGAACGGGGTACCAGTCCGGACCGTGGCTTTTGGGTCCTACAGTGACACAAGATCGCTCATTTTTATCTGTAACGCTTCTGGGGTTTTTTATTTAAATGTCAGTTTTCTTTTGAGAGTGGTAGTGACTTCATACTTCACCCGTATTACATGTAGGGTTTCCTCTTAGATGTAATCTTTCTAGGGGATGGGTAAGGAGTAAGTGATGGGAAAAAGCAGCTATGGAAATCAAAACCAAACAAACTTGTTAAAACATTGATTTAGATGGTTTCTCTTCTTTTTGTGGGGGTGCTTCCAGGCAGCCCAGCGTGCTCAGAAACAGTCTACTGAACTCTTCCAGTGCATGTACTTCAAAGACAAAACCCCAGAAACCGATGAGCGCTGCATGGCAGACGGTGTCATTTACTCCATTCGAACAAACGGCGTGCTTGTTTTCGTACCGAGGTGAGTTGGTTGGGGCTTGGACTGAGCTTAGACAGAACCTGAGTGTTACTAGAACACCCCGAGGACCCCCCTGTCCTTAAGAAAGGAAGTGTTTGTAGCACGGCCTGGTGTTGCCCAATGCCTGTGTGTGAGAGTTTTCTTGTAAATCATAAGCACTGACTGAAGAATGGCCATTCCTGTGAGGAAGCACTAACTCTGCTGCACAGAATGTATTTATTTCAAACACCAAAAGGACATTTTTTGCCCAAGCAGCTGCTGGGGCAGAACAAGGACTGGAACATTCCTGCCCCCTCCCCCTTTTTTTTAAGACAACAGAAAGTGATTTTCCAACCCCCAAAGCCGTGCATTCCTCAGCACTGCCTGCCCCTGTCCCTGCAGAGCGGAGCTTAGGCAGGAGCACCTTCTGGGCAGCTGCTCCTCGCGGGCAGCAGCGAGGCAGAGAAGTGTTTACACGGTGGCTTATGGCAGTCAGGCTCTTACAAGTGCCTGTGTCTCAGCTCAGCCTCTGATTTATGCTAGTGGAAAGCAACTCCTTGCATGAAGCTAACATGACATTTTAATTTATGAGCTTTTAAATCTATATTTTAAAGTACACAAAATGTGTTTTGCTTATGTTACAAATCGACTGGTGATGATGTAAGATGACACTAGTCACCATAGAGGCGGAGAGCACGGCCGCTGCCTCTTGGAAGACTTGGCCGGCTCTTCAAGCTGGGAGGAAAAGTACCTTTTCCTTCCCTCACTGGCTCTGGACGTTTCGGATTCGTTAATGACCTTCATGTCTGTGCAGTCCAGGTAGCAACACTGCCTCCCTGGCTAGCAAACAGCTCTGAGAAGTGTTGGCATAGGAACCCTCCTTAAAAAAAAAAAAAAGAAAAAAAAAAAAACCACACCAAAACTACTCTCCAGGGATGTTAAGTCAGGGAACCCATTACACAAACCCCCTGGACTTCCACAAATACAGCCAGGGGCTGCTGGATCCTGGCCCCAGGCTGTTTGGCTATAACCCAGCTCGATGTAGGCCTGTCTCCAGCCTCCCAGATGTAGGGCTGAAGGACCAGCACCTGCCCAACCACACCAGGCTTCCTTCCCGAGAGCCCAGCAAACACACTGCTAGTCTGTAACTGGAGAAGTTTCCTCACCGTCCTGTCTGGCATAACCTGGACCACTGCCCTGTCCTCGGGGCCCCTCCAGGCTCCACCGAACACGGAAGAGAATGGATCACGACTTCACTTGTGCTTCCCTGCTGCAGTCGCTGCCTTCATGCTGTTTTCATCTGCTCGAGGGGTTTCTTTGGCAATGCACATCAGTGTCCCTGAAGCAGGATTATCAGGCTGCCCCTCTGTGTTATAACATTATAAATAAAACGATATATAATCCGAGCTAGCCTTCTGTTGGCTTCAAAATGAAGAGAACAGATAAGGCTAAAAATTGTTAGAAGAGCTTCTGTCTGCTCCTCTGCTTTTTTGTAGGTACGGAATCAAAGGTGCTGCCTATATGAAAAACAAAGAAGGCTTAGTGATCTCTTGTCAAGGTGACAGGAGCTGTGAGTGGAAGCCAGGATCACTTCATCGCTTTCAGAACAAAATTACTTCCACTACAACTACTGGAGAATCAGTTACATTAAGCCTTTTTGATCATATTACAGTAAGTATTTAATCTGAAGGAAGTAAAAGGAGAGATAGCACCATCAGAAATAAAATACATTTTTATATTGCTTTTAAGGTGAAAATCCTTGTGCAGACTTCCCGCTGCCACGCCGACACGATCAAGCTTGAAATCGTCAGGACCGCACCGTACCAGACTTCAGACACGGAGGTTTCCCAGAAGCACTTTCACGTGGTGAAATCCGACTTGGTGAAAGAAGTCAGTCAGTCTGCAGAAGCAGCCCAGCGTGCCCAAGAAAAAGCAAGAGCTGAAGTAATTGATGAAGACTATCAGGAGTACTGCCAGACCAAGGGAGCAAGCTTGTACCAGCTGCTGGAGGAGATCAGGGATTTGGCACTGTTGGATGTTTCAGCTGACATCAGAACTTGAACTATGACCCAGCAACAGCTGCTTGTTCATGTTCTGCTCCTACTCACTTTGGACAATTGGGTTTTTTAAAAGCAGTCTATTTAAAATATTTAATAAGAAACTAAATGTCTATTTTAAATAAGAATTATTTTTATCTGATTATGAACATGTATGAGTTTCTAAAAGATTTTATACATGATAAATCTCCTCTTCCAGACTAAAGACAGTGTGGTGAATTCTTTTAACTATCATTCAAAAATTACTTTCCCCTATTGCCCCTAAATTAAGTCCTTAAACCCCAAGTATTTCCTACAGCTGCTGGCTGTTTTCCACCCTAGCTTAGTGAGTTTTAACTCCAAGCTACAGGGCTGTGAAAAGCAAACTCCTTCACACTGATCTACAACACCGCGGGTGGTTGAGGGAGCTCCCCCAGCTGCACATTGGCATAAAATAACACCGGCTGACATGAGCTCGCTTCCTCTGCTCCGAGTGCTGCTCCAGTCCACCCCCTGCTCGGGGCTTGTCCAGGCTGGGGATTCTTGGTCGTTCCACAAAGGGAAAAGCTGTTGCGCAAGGAGCAGCAAGATGAAAGGGCCTCCAGGCAGAAACCAGAATCGGCTGGTTTGGTCAAACAAACGTGGTCAAAGCCAAAGCTGGTTCCCCCAAGGGGACGTACGGGTCTGAAGAGAGGTCGGACTGGCACAAGGGAGGGGGGAGTAGGGAGGGCCTGTAGCTGTAACAGCCTCGTACACAAATGTCAGGTTTGCCTTCTGAAATTTAATTGCTTCCATTTTGTAAGAAAAGAGAGGCAGGTACTTGGTAAGCAAGTTAAAAAAAATCCAGGACAGCTGTTCAGACCCAGCCCTACCCACCATGACATATGCCCTCTATTTAAAAACCCCCAAACAACACTTCAATAGAAACATCACCTGTCAATAGCCCAGCTAATGAATTCACTTTGATATCAGTTGTAAATGAAATTCAAAGTAGGTTGAAAAACTCATTAACATCTAAAGAATGCTGGGGGAGGTGGAAGAGAGGTCTCCAATGCAGTCAGAGAACGTTCTGTTTTCTGGTGTAGGGAGCTGCTCATCTGCAGTTTCAAGAGAACAGTTCTGTCCAACTGTACCAAGCTCACGGTGAAGACTCCCCTGAAGCTTCTGGAGTCAGAGTGCAAAGAGCCAGCAACATTTTAATATGATAGTACTTAAAACACTGGGGTCTTTTGGTCAAGAAAGTCATTCAAAGGATGGGGAACAGTTACTGCTTTTCACTGACACGTTCCAATTCTGTATCTCCAGCTCCTGTAGCAGCACCCTTAGTTGCGATGACTTGAGTGTCTTCGATAAGGTCAGTGGGATCCTGAGCAACCGGGGTATTAAACTCCTCTTCTGAGTAACTAGTGGAGACCTCTGTTGGGGGAAAAAAAAAAAAAGTAATTCCAAGCCCCATTTCCTACCATGAGCAAACGCTGTGGCTGTGCGTTCACCTGCAGTTTCTACCGCCAGAATCAGCCTGCAGGAAAGCCGCCTGCAGAGATGACCAGCCCGTTCAGTTTCATTTCACCAAAGACAAAGCCAACACAACTTGGCGTGACAAGTAGGGACAGCAGTTCTGACTCAGCTTTGGCGGAGTCGAACTACGGGAACACAGTTTCAATTTCAGAGTTAACACATTTTGCTACTTGCTAGAAAAGCAAAGCAATCACTAGCACTTCCCTTCCACTGACTCGGCAGCTCGGTTGTACGAGCTTCTCGGGCCACGAGCTCAACCTGAACACCGAGTCACAGAGCTGATTACCGTCGTGTTGCGACTGGCTGTTGCACTGCGTCTTCGCCTGCCTGCGCTCCAAGGCCAGCTGCCTGTTCTTCTTGATTCGCTCTCGTTGCTCCTCCGTGAGAGTTGTACCAGAGAGAGGCGTGAGTTCTGCCTTTCCAGAGCAGGACCGTACATCTTCAGGGGCTGTATCCAGTCCATTGCTTCCCCCTCCATCATCTGGGTAAAAATGAGGGGGTGGGAGGGGGAAGAGGGGCAGAAACCAACCCTTTCAGCCCAGAGAGGTCTGCTGCTAAATATCTGTCATGAGAGCATTTAAAAGCATTTCTACGGTCTACATTTTAAAGCTGTATTGACAGCAGAAGATCATTCTGAAACTTAGTTTTAATGGGCAATTTTCTGCCTAGGTCCACATACCTGATATTCAAAGTATGTAACAAATGCTTATCAGAGATCCCAAACACACAACAGTAACAAGTGCCTGAATTTAGAGAGGCACAGCTCCGTGTACCAAGTTAGCAATCGTGAGCTGGGCTTGAAGGTTAAGAGGAGGCAGTAAATCAGGCAATGCTTACTCAATAGCCAGATAATTTTCCTCCCACCCCTACTGATTCGACACTGTCCTTTGGGGAGTGGCAGGAGTAGTTATGGGAATCAGACACAGGTTCGGACACAGACATTGACTGGCCAGTCTGGACTTCAGTCAGCTACTGTTACGGAGTTTTTACTCGTTTGCCAACATTAAAACATGCAAAATGGAGGCAGTCCAACTGCGTTAGACAAACTTCACCCACCAACAGAGAAGCAGAGCACTCTTTCAAGAGTGCCTAAGGCCAAGTATGCTTGTGCCTCTGCACCACTGTAAGCCTGCGAATAGAGAAGTTAGCTGACAACAAGGTTTTGGTTTTTAATACAATGCTCTAGCTTGAGCTTTTATTTCAAAACTATAAGATACCAACTCGAGTTGTTCAAGCGAAGGCTGACCGGTTGCGGCAGGACACTCGCCAACACGGTTCAAGAACAGGTCGGCACCGCATTGAAATACAACTGTATGGAACCATCGCACAGAAAGATCTGATAACTCTACAGACACTGTCGGCAGGAACCATTTGCTTTACTGTTTGTGGCTGCTCATGGCTGCATTCCATTTCTAGCCAACACAGCCAACAGTGAAGACAGCCACATGTCACCAACTGCCCCAAGGTCATCCCCACAGGTGAGGCAAGGTTCTACCGCCGGTGAACTCGCCCACCAGAACACCTCTCCCAAGCACTGGCTTGCCTGGAGGCTGAGGTTCACACGGAGACAAACTGGACAATGGGTAGATAATTGTTTCAGCAGAGCCCCACAGTGAAAGTCTGAACAGCTGCAAAGGACCTTAGGAACAACTATGAAATTCTCTCATCTCTGCTAATAGTTTCTTTCAAAACACCAGATAATCTCTGCTCCCAATTTTATAAAAAAAACCCTGTTTATTTCTAGTCTAAAAACATAATCCAATTGGAAGAGACTCTTGTATTACTGACTTCTTCAGTGGCTGGACTTTGATACTGGAAGAAGAAATACCGCACAGCAGCTGTACACCAAGACCGACAAACAGGCGTGCCAGTGCCCACCAGCACGAACAGGCACTTTCCC